GTCGTCGATGCTGGCCTGGGGGTTAGCGGAAAGTTGGCTGTACGTGGTGTTGTTGTTGTAGCCGTGCTGGAGCTGAGGGTGCTGCTGTGACTGTGGGAGCGCGATAACACGGCTGGAGGGAGGAAAGGACTGGTTGTTGTAGGGCGACGGATCTGCTGAGCGGGGGTAGAGCTGAGACGGAGCGGAGCTGGTGGGCGAAGTTGCCTGCGAAGAGGAATGGGGAGGGGATGGTGTTCTGCCTGTGCCTGTTCTTGTAGACGGGGTTGGGGAGGACCGAAAGGACTGGTCGGCGCCAAGGCCGATGATGTTGTTGGACTGTTCACGAAAGGACTGGGTGGGTTTGGAGTCGAGAAAGGACTGGCCGAGGTCAAAGTTGTTGGTAGAGTCGGGCCGAAAGGAATGGTGGTCGGGTGAGTGGGCACCCGTGGGAGATTCAGAACTGGGCATGTCGACGTCGTTGTCTTCGGGCATTTGCCATAGTGTACTCGCAGGATCTATACACATATTACTACTAAATATCAGAATATGTCACAAAAAAGACAAACCTTGGAAACCTAGCAGAAGAGACCAAAAAGGAAATATCTCATCAACACAACTGCGTCAGCGAAATGGCTGGGAAATTACACACCCTCGTACATGGACGGCTCACGCTTGACCGGCATCATAGAAGACGCCGAGTTGTTATTGCTCGATGACCTCCGCCCTCGACCTGATCCCGCCTTGGACGCAGCGGCCATCGCCGCATGCAGAGTGGTCAATTCGCGCATCATCCGCTCGTTTGCGTCCTGCTTGTCGGCGTGCACTGTCTGCGCATGCTGTCTGAGGTTGTCGAGGCGGGAAAACTGCTTGCTGCAGTGACATGCAAAGGGACGTTCGCCGGTATGTTTGCTGGCCAAGCAGTGAGAACCAAAAGGAGACGGGGGGACACAAAACACACCGTATGTGGCGAGCAAGGTGCTCGGAACGGCTAAACACCATTTTACAGTCCCCGTAGCCCCGGCATTGGAAGGTCTTGGGCGGGGCAGGGCGGCATCGTTTGTTGAGTTGGGAAGGGGAAGAAGCGACCATGGCAGCCATGGTTTGTTGGGTGGCAGGCAGACTCGGAGACAACGAACGGACGAGTTTTATCTCAAACGCAAGTTGACGCGGTTCAGCAATGTCGAAAACAAGGGGAAGAAATCGCAATCAACACTCTTCGGACATATGTATATCTATCTCTCTTGGATCTGCCTTTTTTCCTCCTTCATCTCGCGGCCCGTTCCTGACAGTTTCAGGCACCAAATCACTAAATCAAGCGGCCTTTCAAATTCCTTTGTTATGACATGTTTCCTCTTCCACTCTTTTGGTTCCTCCCATTCATTGAGGTCTGGACCACGTGCGACCGGCTTCCTAGATCCGTGCTATCCCCATTACTGCCTCCATGTTCGCTGTGCCCCATGCTGTCTGTCATCCCTATCCAGTTCCGAGATTCGGGATTCCTCTCCTACGTCCATGCAAGCAGTGTCACCCGGAATCCCATCCTTTGCTTGTCCCAGAAATCCCGTGAAATGCGTACCACCATCCTCCCTCTAGCTTCTCATTCCATCTGTCGACTATAGAGTTTCCGTCGGGACAGCTCGTGTTTTCACCGACAAACCACCGAGTTCAAACATGCATATTTCCGTCCCCGCATCTTGCCTCTGGTCTCTCGTGGGACGAGGATACCGTGTGCTCGTTCCGGTCTCAAGTTGGTAAGGAGATCGTCGTCAGCAACTATGTAGAAGAACACAAAAGAAACCGGCGAATCCGTCGTGTCCCGAGAAGAGCACTCTCTGCTCGGTCTTCCGTTCAAAGTGCTCACAAGACGCGATAGACGTCAGTGGTCCTCATGAACGTAAACCAAGTAATTATAAGCTCTGGTAAACGCAACGCGTATGATAACAAGATACGTATTCTCCGTGAAGTCATAGGTCATATGCAAACGGAACGTATGGAACGCTCTATACCATGACCATATCTTCCCATCCAATAATCCACAGCGCGTTTAACGCTCAACAATCCAATCCGTCAGGCACAACATATGTAATCAATTGCACTCCGTACATCCTTTCACGCTTAACACGCACAGATCAAAGCAGAGCTCCACTTCTCTATTCTCCTCTCATATCTTTTTATGTTAGCGTTGGAGCAAAGACGGAATCTGCAACTGTAACTAGTCAGGCACCGAGGAAAATCAGGAACGCGAATGCTTCAAAAGTCAAGGTTTGACGAAGGATGCTTTCGGAAGTCCGGGGAAGGGAATGGTGATCAGGAACCGACGGGGCGGGATCAATATAGTTCCCGTACCACCACAGACTACTACTTGCTACAGCTTGCTACCTGGTGTCTCTTGGACTCTTGGACTCTTGGTACCGGCCATGGCAGCTCTTGGTTTAAATACTACTACTCCACTCATCAGAGCTTTTTACGAGGTATCCACTTTTTTGCAATTCCTTTTATATTACTCGTTCCCAGTAGTAATATTGATATACGTTTAGTGATTGGCCCGCGTTCGGTCCCGTCGCACCACCATGTATACTTGGAAAACTTATTCCCCTACCGGCCTCTCAATACCTTCGTGTCATGCATGATACAAATCTAGTGTTACATTTTATGTTTTACCATGCACATCCATGCCATGATTTCCCTGAGACACTCTGTTGAGAGTGACCCTGCGTCGTCTTACTTACATGAATGTAAAAGTAGATTTCAGTATGCAAAGTTGGAAGTCGGACCGACCGATACTTTCGGATAATACCTGCTAAGTAGCCTTGACCCACTTCAACTTTCGTTTAGGAAGAGCTTGAACTGACAGTGACAGCTGGCACCAGCACATCCGCCGTTTGATTTCTGGGGACTCCGAGGTCGGATCGTTAGTGCTATTTCTGGATCTAGAACTATAGCAAGCCGCTATATAGTACTTACACAAATAAGTAAATGGCTCAACCTTTTACCTCCCTCCCATCTCTCGATATTACAATGCTCCACTCCATTATACTAAAGGCTCTACAGCTTTATTTCCTTTCCATATCTACATACCGCCGTTTTCTTGTACGGTATGCTTGATTCCGTGAATCTTTCAATTGTGATTTCGTGATTCTGACATACATACTTATGTTCTGTGATCAACAAACAATACGTAGATACATCATCAAAAGATAGACAGATGGAAAAAGTAGATTGTTCTGACGTCGGTGCAAACTTTATCAAGCCTACTTGACTGAACTCTGAACGGAACCAGATAATGAATAAATACGAGTGTGCATCAACTACCACCGTCCCCAGACCTTATATCTTCGTGATCAATTGAATGTCATAATCTTTCAGCAGAGTGTCCCCAGGCTTGAGATAAAGATAATATAAACCCATATGAAAGTGATGGCACTCTGTTCCGGACCCGTTGTTTTGTACCAAGTGTGTATCACCACCTTTTTTCCTTTACTTATGATAAGTATTAATAAGAAACAATCACCTCCGTGTAACGATAGGCATTGCATAGATGTAAGTGTCCGTCATGGGTATTATTATATACCCGCTCACGAACACGAACTTGATTTCTTAAAGTCTAGAAATTTATGCGTTTATGCGCAGCTCTCCTAATCACGCTCAAACACAACATCTTGTTACCCACGCAACTCAATACCAATACCAATGACAATACCGATCGTAAGGGAATTGGAAATTCACTGCGGCGCTTTGTGAGGTATCTTTTGAAAGACTTTTGAGATCGTGTGGATCATATGTATACGTCATGATCACTGTACAAACACCCGCCCTCCGAGCTCCTATGTAATTGGACTGGACTCGTCATGATCGACTTTAACACGGTCGTCGGTGTACTACGGTTACTACGGCTGCTATAAGATAGTAGTTACCACCTCTGGTCTAGACACTAACGCATACCCGTAGTAGGGCACACTCCCCATAGCGCATACCTTTTTGGTATGACCAAAGTGCCTTCTCTCACCATATGAAGGAGTCCTCTGTAGCTATAGCATAATAACCCAACTAATCATATATCATACCGCGCACTCCTGCTCACCCCAACCCGTATCCAATCATTCCATCACCCCGGACTCGGACCCGACTCTGCCTCCCCCACTTCCACCTTTCCACTCGTCTCCGCTTACCTCCGCGCCCCCTTGTATGACATCAAGAAAAAATAAGCACTAAAACACCCAAATCCGCCTTGTCCGAGGTAGCATTTCGATTCCGAACCCGAGAACATATCTAGGCACCGTGCAAGTGAGATGTATGTACCTTTTTTTGTTTCCTTCATTCATTCAAATTTCAGATCGCATCCTTAAAGCCGTCGGTCTGGCCAGGTACCGTGTATGGGGTTATGGATGTACCTTTTGTTAATGATGATGTATGGTTGACTGTTTAATTGAAGATGTCGAAGTTGAAGGACGGATATAAAGAAGCAACCAGGGTATCTGTCCGCCAATGAGCGAGGGATTTGCTTCCACCAGGGTCGGTGGCGTGGGAATGATGGACGACGGGATAGGGGTTTCTCATCAGAATGTGGAAGGATAGTGTCGTAGCTTTAAATTCTTTGAGGTACTAACTCTCAGTACAGTTAGAAGAAATTGCTACGACTTACTTTGCGTAAGGTGGCGAAACCGATTGAGCGGTAGATTCTAAAAGAAAACAAGGAAGCCTCGAGTTGGAAGTTGAGTTGACGGGCACTTGCGGGCACACCGTTTGTTGTAGTTTATCATTTCAGAGTAGTTTGTAGTAGTGGCTGTAAAAATAAATGACCATCTCCAATTGTAGCATAAAATCTAATTTACTTCTACTCTGTAAAACCCGAAAATTAAGAAGACATTGCGGAGACACCTGGAAAAACTGGCTGACAGTTTCAGGTAAGCTGCATTGCTCCAAGGAATCATTCATCAGTCGGAGTATAATACAAGCATACGTGCTAATATTCAGAATAACATTCTGAGGATTGCCCGTCAGACAGTAATTATCAATGTACTGACCCCTTAGCTCAGCGGTAGAGCGTGTGATTCCAGTAAAGGATCCACAAGGTCGTCCGTTCAATCCGGGCAGGGGTCATCGTCTTGTGGTAACATTTTTTTGTTGCCTTTGGCATTGTACATCAAAGACCGTCTATTCAAGTTTTGGCATTCCGGACTGCGTAATTATGACAAAGTATTCTGAGTGCTTCTTAACTTCCGCTTCTCATTGGATAGCCTCACGCTCGGTATATCGGAGGCAATCAATCTTCCATGCGCCGATGGACGCCACAAGTCTGTCGGAGTTCAATATTGTCTTCGCCGACTGCGGCTTCTCATCGTGGCAGTGTAGTTGAACCAATCACCACAAGCCCTCGAAGGTCTAGACTCTGGAAGCTAAATTGAATGGCACAGCGTTTGAATCCGGGTACACTCAACCCTGCCCCAGGTCTATTGAGTCTTGAATTACCTTCGAACTTTGCCTGTATCACTGTATGGCTCCGTCAAGGAAGATTCCTCGTTGGTCCAGGCCTAGTTGATGATTGGTATTGACCTCGGATAAAAGGGATGATCAAAACTAGAATCCGGGAAGGGGAATCCCGAGTTCTCCCTGTACCTCTACTTGAAAGACGAGTTTAGCGCCTGGGAGATGATCAGCTTTGACAGAATATATCGTGTCTAATAGGCATACCAGACCTGCCCGACCTGTCGCGTATACCTTCCGAACCCGGATGCATTCGTATCAAAACAAAAAGATTTACGTTCAAAGATTACTAGAATATATTGCATGCTTTTGAAGTTTCGCCGGAAGGGCAAGAAACAGAGTAATCGAATCTTGTGGTAGACCTCCCTGCTCTGGCCAATAAACGCATACATTTTCTTCAACAATAACTCTTTACACGTAGCACATGTCACCATTCTGACGTCGGGCCCGCAGATAACGGGCCCGAGACCTAGTGGATTTCCAACCCATAGCGCCCGAGTGCATTTACTATTCCGGGCAAGTCTTATCTTCATCGAGGATATCGGCACAGCATCTTTTTGATCCGTCGAGAGAAAGAATATATGCTGATCTTTGCCCATCAGCATTGCGTCGTTCCCAGTGCAGTCTAGATTTGCGGCCTCAGTGCCTCTCCATCCTCGACAATACATTTTCAGGAATGCATTGAAGAACGAAGCACGAGAGAATTCAATGTAACAAATGTGTTCTGCCTCGAGGCTTAGAAGAATCTTTGGATCATTAGGGCTTGATATCATCGTGTATTCCTGACATGTCTTGGTCGAGGCAAATGATTGGAATAGAAGGTAAACTGTGCAGATTGACTCTGCTAATTAACGGCTCTACTTCTCCGAAATGCACAGTCAAGCCCAGTCAGTAATGCCTCAAGGCTCGTAAGACCTACCGCATCCGACATGTCGAATGTGCGTTCTAGACCCAACAAAATCGAAATCAACGATTCCAACAGAATCAGACGTTAGCGGAGGGTGAGCGGAGTTTTGAATGAACGATTTCTGCCGGCAGGGTACACACGTTCTATTTTGTGAGTGTAAGTATGGGAATCCGTCGGCCCGTTTACACTTCGGGGCAATATTTGTGAAGCCCAAGGGTCGTTTTGACCTTGTATGCCGCTATTCGCCTGCATACTTAGGGAAGCATCGGGAATTGGTGCACCGGAGACAAAGTGATACGTGTTCATTTCAGACTTGCTGCACGAGCTGTCGGATACGTGGTTGAAAAAATGCCAATCCTTCAGATATTCAGACCTCTCATCCTTAGCCTTTGTGGCTTCTCCCGTTTATCCATGCAATTGCGAGTCATTGAAGTGGGTCAGACATGCATAATGCCAGAGTCCAATCTCCGTATTTCCGTAATTCACAAAATTGAAAGGCACCATTACCGTGGTTCTCAAGAGTCATTACCCCTTGAGGCACGTAAACTGGGCTTGAAATCGAAGTTCTTTCATCAGGATGTGATCGTCCTTGTAGGCTTTGTATTCAGCGTCGAGTATTATAAGTCCAGAGCTAACTCGGCAATTGAAGAAAGTAGCTCATTTTCTGAGCATCTTGGCTCATATCCTGCAATCGAGGATCAATATCTGGAGGCGTAGAATCTGATTCCCCTTCAAACTAATAGATCATGATTTGCCTATCAGCAGAAGCCTTTGACTTGATAAACTTCGTCAAGTTCAACAAAAGGAATCCATGTTTCCTGTCACGGACATAGCCCTGACCTTGTAAATTGATTTGTACCTGTCCAACTCTGACGAACTAATTCAGTCATTAGGGACGTTTTTGTATCAGACTCGCGGCTGTACCTGATGTCAGAGCAGGAGATCTTCAACTTTGCGATTTGACGCCTCTTTTTTGAGCGGGGACGAGTGCCAATCATCCTTCTGAAGGAAGTCCAGCGGATCTGTCAAGAGGAATAGTAATAGTATACAAATGAGGTCCATCTGTTCGAGCTTAACGAAACACGGAAATGAGATGAAAAAGATGGCACTAAGACTGCGGCACTCATCGATGCGTATTAAACGTTAAACCATTGCCGATGCGTTTTAGTCTTCAAAACGGATGAAAGGACTTCGGACATCTCGGAAGACATGCGAGATATAAGACGGATCGACGGCATCAAATGTTCAATCCCCGCCAGGCACGCAAAAGCAAGGAACCAACAGTACTTACATCCAAGAGACGTCCAAAAACAGCATGAGAACATCTAGAGATCATCATATTCCCAAGAGTTCATACATATAGTTAGCCCTGATATCTTCGTCAGCGAGGGAAGACATCTGAAGACATCCACACGAAAGAATGGGAATCAACTTTGAGCTGAATGGAGAAACAACTGAAAACGTGTGTATCTTCTCAAGGTGTCAGCATGTCAAGCCTGGAGAAAACTTGGCATGAAATCTCTCACTACGGATAATTGAAAGAAACCGAAATCCCGACTGACGAGACTAGGCTGACATATGATTGGGTGATATGTAAGCACTTTTTTCATGAATCTTTCGAATCAAATTTCCAGTACAATCTTCCGAGGGTTTCACCTCGCTCATTGTGCTCTTTGCTTATTTTTTGAAAATACGTGTCCCTTGACATATGCCATGGGGTCTTCCGCTCTCCAGGAGAGAAGGTCCCGATTTTTCACTGTCCTGAGATACCACGATATGTATGTGCTCCTAGACACACGTACACACAGACTCCATGAAAATAACCAAGAAATGAAGATACTAAAGCTTGTGGAAGGTTGGGCTCGATAGATTGGCGTGGAATTTCAATGCGCGAGAAAAAATCTGGGCTGCACCTTGTACCAATTTAGCTGTAAGCTTCCTTTTGTAAACTGTTACTTGAGTTAGCTAGACTAGAAGGAAGCCCACTTGACTGGTCCTCGGGCGATTGTATTGGAGGCCGACATTATGCCGTGGTTTCGAGTCGTTTGCTCTCGCCAGCAGCGCAGTGCCTGACAAACTTTCATATTTGTATGAAACCATCAGTCCGAGTAAAAGCCCTAGGATGCACACAGACCATGATCACGAGTTATCTTCGCGTCTGAAGGTTGCTCGTATTATTTCTCGCGTGCAATCGTGAAACCGACAATCACCCTCGAGAGGCTACTCAGTAAACTCGGCGATTCGACAAGTTCATCAATGAAATAGATATAGATCCTAATGAAGACTAGTAGCTCAAACATACGTACTGATGGGTCAATCTTCCTCATCCTGAGGCCCTGATGACTGCAAGTAATAGCTTCCTGTAATCCCCACTGGTTTCACCTTTGACTCTGTCTTCCAAAGTCTTTCCGTACTTGCTCTCGTAAGTGTGCTTGATAACACGGAAGCGAGTTTGAGACCAGTGGAAGCGAACAATCCTAAGAAGACGTGAATTCAAATACAATATAGAGTGCTCCTTACACACCTTCTAACCAGTTCTTTATCCTTTGTACCAGCACCTTTCATCGATTTTTCCAGCAGTTTTACGTCCCGCATTATGCCCCAGGTCTCAGCATTTGCTGGTTCTTTGTGACCCTTGTGGTCCTTTTTGGATTTGTCTTTGGGCGCTTTAGCACCGTCAACAATGTAAAGAAGGGTATCGCGAAGCTGTCCAGAGCTAAGGGAAAATTATAAGGTCTTACTTCGGTGTACGTACAGGCAAGGAAGCAAAACCCACAATTCCGATTTGATAACTTTGCTCAGTTTCTTGTACTTCTTCTCGTAAGCCTCGCACCTGTGATCCGAGTATACAATCAGTGTTGTACTCTAGACTGAAGGTAGGTACTCACAATACCCCCAGATGGGGTCGGCTTCTATTAACCAAAACATCGCAGAACGCGATTTCATCTGTGCCAATTTTTCCTTGGCCAGCGTCATAAAGGGTTTTCACATCTTTCTCGACAAGCGCATGATCTACGGGGGCATTATCGGGAGGGCGGTTGGACGAAAGAGTCATCGTAAACACTTGAGAAGAAAGGACGCATTGGTCAATCTAGAACACCAATGTACTAGAACACATACATCTCTTTGTTTTGCCGCTGAATTCCCCTTGCACCTCGTTTTCCAAATCCTTTCCGTACCTCTCTCTATACGCCGCTTTCAACAATTGTATGTCCTCTGGCGTTCGGTCAACTACTAATTCTGTGAGAAGTTGTTCGTCGGTTCCGGCGCCCTTTATGGCTTCATTTAGAAGCTCTACATCGTATGCGAGAGGGCCCAGAGTAATGCCGCGGAGAGCTACTCTGAGATAGACAGGACGGATAATGATAAGTAAGGTACGACAGAAGGTTGGGAATGACGCTCACTTGAACCATCCACTAGTCTCGTAACCCAATTTGTCCGTCAGAGTCTCCCCTACACTGGCTTTGAAAGCCGCTCCGAGAGCGGCGACTTGAAGGGCAGAGAGAGGTGCTATGGCGGATATCACTATATTGAATTAAAACGTGAGTAAACTAGAGTAGGCGCAAACCTAAACCTTACCGGTGTCCTCGTCAGTGCCGAAACCTTTCGTCACCTTTCTAATTTTCTCCGCCTCTGCATTGGCGTCGTAGCCTGGAACACTCAAGTAATTTGTTGCAGTATGAGGTGATGGAATCGGCGTCCCAAGATA